ATCCGCCTGGTGCAGGAAGCGGCTCTCGACGCGGCAGACACGGACAGCATGACGGGAACCTCGCTGAACCGCGACGACGGGAGCATTCTCGGTGCGTAGGGAGAAATTTGTCTTGGTCGTTGACTATGGCAGTAGATGTTACTGACGCATACGCACAACAAGACATCATCTATCAAAATGCTTCCATCTTAACCATCTTGTTTAGTGTATTTACGACCTTAGAGTATGCATCAAAATAACATTGAGTGTGTATCTAGCTTACGATTATTATTGTTTATATTGCTGCTCATTTATATTATGCATATGATTGTAAGCCTACTTGTGTGTGCACGTGTGTACGTGTGTGTGTTTGTGTGTGTGTGTGCGTGTGTGTGTGTGTACTCGTGGTGGAACACCAAACCAATGTGCCAGGATCTGGACAATAAAGACGTATCTTATCTTATCTTATCCTATCTCTTATTAATAAATCCATGTCTCACTTGCTGAAACAACCCGCTCTGTAAAACACTCTCTCTCTCTCTCTCTCTCGTGAGCTCTCTCGGTACATAACAACAGCAACAGTAACTGCAATAATTGTAACGGTCGCTTGTACCGGGGAACATTCTCGGTTCATGACAACAACAATAGCTATAATAGTAACCGTCACTTTTACAGAACTCACTCCCTGGTGGCTCGCGACACTTCAGAACAAAATCAGAATTACATGTCAAATGAGTCGGCTTTCTACTGACTGCTGGTCGGAACTATTGGGGAAAGTTCAAAAATTACATGACAAATAAGTCGACATTCTGCTGATTACTAGAGCTGGGCAAAGAGTCGATTCCGGAACCAATTTTCCCACGATTAATATTACGGAAGTAAAGTTCCGTCTCCTTTTTACGTAAACCAACGGTTACCAGTTACTTTTATCATTAAAATCTTTTTTTTAAAAGAATTAATTTTTTGAAAAATAGAAGTTGATGCTTCGAGGTATTCCGAAATCAAGGTTATCCTAAATCCTGAAGATGCTCGGAGCCAACCAGGTAACCACCAGAAGAAATCACATCATTAGAAAGTAAGTAATTGGGTTCGGAGTCGATTCCTACGATTCCTAGCTTTCAATAATCGGGAACCTTGCCGCCCAGCACTACCGATTACCAGTCAGAACTATTGGGAAAAGTTCAAGAATTACATGACAAATAAGTCGACATTCTACTGATGACCAGTCAGAACTATTGGGAAAAATTCTGAGCTGATCCGTCAGATTGTTGTCCTGCGCGTATGTCGCAATTGTCCAGTCTTAGGCGTCCAATCTCTTAAGACCAATGTCAATCTCAATTAATGTCGAGCGTCCAACCTCCCTCCAATATTATGTGTGTGATGTGTGTGTGTTAAATGTGTGTTGTGTGTTATATGCATGCTCTGTGTGAGTGCTGACGACCTGTTCCTCTGTGTGTCGCTATGTGCTATGTGTGTGCTATGTATGATGTGTGTGCTCTATGTGTGATAGTGCTGACGACCTGTTCCTCTGTGTGTCGCCATATGCTTTGTGTTTTTTATGTGGGTGGTTGGCGGGTGCTCTGGTGTGGTTTGCTTCTTCTTTCCTGTCAAACATCTATCGTCCTTATCTCCCCCTCCTTCTTTTTTATGTTTGTTACTCTCTTGTAACACCTCTAATCTTCTGGCGCTCATATGACCTTATGCAGATTAGAGTGCCGTAAAACCTCTACTAAAACAAACAATGAGCGCTACGTGCTCTGTGTGCTGTGTGTTTGATGTGTGATAGTGCTGACATCCTGTCCCTCTGTCTGTCCCCACGTGCTGTGTGTGCGCTATGTGCGTGCTGTGTGTGCGCTATGTGCTCTGTGTGTGCTATAAATGTGTGCTGTGCATGTACTTTATAATATGTGAGGCAGCGTGGTGGAATCAGGCTCTCGTCAAAATAATCAAAGTGAAGAAACTTTTTTTTTTCCGCAAGTTTATGAATTTTTATCAAATTTTTATTTTTTGGCTCAACATATATCATGCCAATTAAAGAACTCATTTGCGTGTGGATTTTTCTGAAAAACGTTGATTAAAGGCACAAAAAATGTAAATTTTCAGTTACCACGGACTCTTAAGCTATGGAAATAACTTATCTTTGGCCGCCATTTTCTCACTAATTTTACCTCTGAAAACCGGTGACCTCACCTCCTTCTTTCGCAAATATCTTGACTCATATTCAAGATAAATTGATATTTTTTCATCCAAATAAAGGCTAGTGAACAAGCTTTAAGATGATACCAAAAACTCTATATGCCCAAAAATTGACGAGAGCCTGATTCCACCACGCTGTTTCTCATATGTAATGTGTGAATTCTGACAACCTGTCCCTCTGTCTCCCCCCCGCGAGCAGACACAGAGAGCCTGGACGGCTACAGCACCAAGGACAACCCCGCTCTCATGGAGGACGACACAAATCCGACCATGGCTCCTTTTGGAGACGCCGCCGACTTCTCCAAGGTCAGTGGGTGGTTGGCGGGTGCTCTGGTGTGGTTTGCTCCTTCTTTCCTACCAAACATCTATTGTCCTTATCTCCCCTCCTTTTTTTTTGTGTGTGTTTGTTACTCTCTTGCAACACCTCTAATCTTCGGCACTT